CTTGTGCTTCAAACTGAAAGAAGTCTGCCTCGCACCGGTTTCCGAGTCGTGGTTTTCCGGGGGACGATGGGCGAATGCCGAGGCAGGGGCTTAGTGTGTCTTTTAGAAAGACGTAAGGGTCCACGACGATTACCCCCACTTTGCCCGAAAAATAGAAGAGAGAAGTGCGCAAAGCTCAAGACGAAGAGTCAAGAGTGAAACGCGCGAGAATTTCAAGAACAAGATTCTTCTGAAGAGTAGAGAAGACTGGGATTGGAAGTAGCGGCGCCCGGTAACCTGAGGCAGCAGCCCAGGGTAGGGCAGGAAGTCGCCAGGAGCCCAGAAGTCTTTTCCAAGAAGAAGTTCTTGAAAGAGGAAGAATTGTCGGGACGACAATTTTATGAAGAGGGGGGCAGTGTTGCGGCCGTGCGGTATTCCGTTCGGCGCTGCTAAGAAATAATCAATATCAATCGATAAGAGTTTGAATAGAGGATCGGCCCTTGGCAACGCGTCGTTCTCCGACTGTTTTTTAGATTTGACGGCCGGATTCTGCGGTGGCCGGACGCATTTCTGTACCGTTGGTTTAATAAAGAGCGAGTCTTTCCTAAAACAGTGTTCTTCCTTTCCGAGAGCGCTCCGCCGAGTATCGCGATCACGGGAAGTAACGCCGCGAACGCGACAATATATAAATTCTGTATGAAAATGTAGCAATTTGTTCGATACTTTTTGCAATTTCTCTAAAAACTTTAATGTTTTCATCTCTTTTAGCATTCAATATTCTATGTAAAAAATGACAGTATCATAAATAAATTTAGCTATATATAATATATGCACAGTTTGTATATTCTATATTGTACTTACGCAGCATTATTTTCCTTATTGAAATCCAGTTGTCCTCTAAGTACTAAACCGTTTCTTCCTGATACAGCAAATGGTTGAATATTATGTTTTTCTCCTAATAAATCTGTTAACTCACTGTAATTAAGGAGAATATTAGTATCATTCGTAATATTATACATAAATTTATTCTTTTATAATATATAATATTATTTATTTTTATAAGTGTTTACGCTTCATATTTACAAGTCTTTCTTGCTCTGTCGATCATTTTATTATTACTAATCATATTTTTATATGAACGTTTTAATTTTATTTTAATTTTATTTTCCACTTTTTCTACAACGTGGTTACAGGATAATTACTGTATACTATGACCCATTTCTTGTGCAATTTGTTTCCATAAAGTTTTATAAGTTTTTATTTTCCTTGTATTTATAAGATTTGTCTTAGATTTATAAGTGTCTAACAACAGTTTTGTTGATGTATTGTTCCAAAACCACGATGAAGTTGTATTTATAGCAATTTTATTTTGATTATTCTGATCATTTTCATCATTTTGATCATTTTGAATATTTTCATCATTTTAATTTTGTGTGTTATTATATATTTTTCTTTTTATTTTAGAAAGATCTATACAAATTTGAGTTCCATCAAGAATAAAGATTAAAGTATCCGAAGAAAAATTTATATCTCTCTTCGGAAATTTTAACTGTTTTCTATCTAAGTAAAAAATGTTAAAAGATATATTTATTTGTTTATAAAAATGTTAGCGCGCTTTTTTTGTCATTTTATCCTTGTTTTACATCTATTGAATGATAAAGATAGAACAATGAAAAAGTGGGCTAACATTTCTATTTAAGCGTGCTCTGAGAGAATATAGGTGATACCCGTTTGACCACGTCCCGATTGATTACTAGTCACTCACAGGGGCGGGTGCCTAGAATTTTTCCACTGTTCAAGCGCTGTAAGTGACTAATAATCAATCGGGACGTGGTCGAACGAGTGTTAGTATCGGTTCACAATATTTAATCTTTAAGTCGTAAGAAATTGATCAATCATAGTCGATTATTCTTTTCATATTCGATTATAATTGGTCAATTTCTTACTTCTTAAAGCTTAAATCACCTATTGTGAACCGACACTTACCCGACTAGAACGCATAAAGACTGTAACGAATTGCTTCCCAGCATGTACAAATTACACGACACGTGGTATCGCATAACCACGAAACTATCGGAATCACTTCCGTGAGGAATAGATGGCGTTTTGTGAGGGACGCACGTGTTCGAGCGGTGTCTGATTTTTTAGTGTTATATACCCTCGGAATAAGTAAATCAGCTCTTTTTAGAGCTTAACAGATATAGATTGAAGTGTAGTAATAGGATATAATAAGGTACGTGAAAAATAAAAGAACAATATAGAAGAAATAAGGGATTACGAGGAGCCCCTGGGTGAGGGGCGGAGAGAGGAGAGAAGAGGAAGTATAAGTTTAACTCTGAGAGAGAATGAAACGCTTAAGAAAACAATAAGGAGACTCGAGGCAAGATTAAATGTTGAAATGAACGAAGAAAGCAATAAAGGAAAAAGGCCAGCGACGGAGGACACTTTGGACCAGTTAATGATAGACACGACGAACAATGAGATCGGAAACGAGGAATGGAAAACCGTAGATAGAAAAAAGAAGAAGGCGAGAAAGCAATTGTTACAGACTGAGAAGAGCGCGGGAGAAACCTGCAATATGAATGGCCAGAAGGCACGTGATATGAGAGAGGACCAATCGGAACAGGAAATGGAAACGGAGGGAGAAGGAGATACGTTACCAACGGCGGACTGCAACAAAGGCTCGCAGTCAGCAAGAAGCAGCGAAATGCAACAGGCAAACGATAGGAATAACGTGACAATGGGGAATGAACAAAGAAAAAGGGAAATATACGTGAGGGAGGAAGGTGTGCTTAAGCATATTAGTGAGATCGATGCGACTAAGGTTAGTAGGAAATTAGAATTCGAAGAAAACTTCGGCAGTAACTACAAAGTGACACTAAGGATAATGGAAAGAACAGGCGCAGTTAAAAAAGGTAGTAATTATTTTAAGGTCATGCATATGCTAAAAGATAAAAAAATATACCCCAAACGCATAATGATGAATGGATATAAGATGGCCACATTATTTTTTTAAACCCAATAGATGCGAATAACGCTATCAAGAAGATCAACGAGGACAAAGAAAAAGAAGGGTACAGAGCGGGAATTAAAGACCGTGATACATGCTTCAAAGGTGTAGTACCATTATACCTTGACACAATTGTGGACTTCTATGAACTACTTACAAAGTCAGAGGACGTGGTGAGAATAGAAAGAATGATGAGGAGAAGATGGAACAAAGAGGAGAATAAGGTGGAATTCGAACCGGTAGACTCAGTGATAATCACTTTCAAGGGGAATCAACCCAGGGATAAGATCAGTTTCTTTAATGATCTAGCAGTGCTAAGGGTAAGACCATATGTAGCCCCAGTGATGCAATGCTACAAGTGCTTTAGATTCGGTCATAGAAAGATACATTGCAAGAGTGAAGAATATTGTATCAACTGTGGCGAGAAAGCACACGGTCACTGTGATAAACCAACTAAATGTCGTGACTGTGGTGAGGGGCATAAATCTACGGACAGAAAATGTGACGTTTATGAAAGAAATCAAAGGATCAAAAAAGTAATGGCATATAATAATGCGTCGTATAAGGAAGCTATGGAAATCCTGGAGGGTAGTGAGGAAGGCCCAACAGAAATATATGACAGGTACGAAAAACCAGATAAGTGGCCTCTCCTTAATAGACAGAGGATGAACCAGAGACAAAAACCTTTGTATAGGGATAAAGTGATTGGCAAGGAAAATAACAGGAAAGGAAAAGGAAAGGAAGGGGGAAAGGGGGGCGCAGATGACTCAAGCAGTGACGACCTATCATTTTATTCACCGAACAATTCCGAATCCCTTGGACGAGAAAAGAAAAAGGATGACGGGAGAAAAAGGACAAAGGCACCTATAGTGAGGACCAACTATTATGCACGTTTTGACACTAGAGAGGGAGAAATTACGAGGGAAAAGAGAGGGATAGCACTAACACATGAAAAGGAAGGAAACAGAACAAACTTCTCTAGTAACGAACAGGAGGGCTACTCAGTGGGGAAGGCATTGATCACGGAGAATGAGAAAAGAAAGGAATTCATAGCCAGGTTATTGGTGGCAGTAGACAAGGACTGGGATCTGAAATCCTTGCTGGAACAAGCACTGGACGAGCTTAAACGGGATAAGAGATGGGAAGGAGATTGGACGGTCGGAGAACAAGACAAGGAACAACATCGGAAGGACATTATAAGAGACAGAAATAGAATTTATAGAGAAGAAAGAAAATACAGAGAAAATAGGATAGTAGAAAGAATGAGACAGGAATTCGGGAAGGGCAACGAATAGCACAATAGACGTATCATAGCAATAAGTTAGAAAATAAGATTAGTAATAAGGTAGCTCATAAGTGTCACGCCATATAGTACAAATAGAACCATAGATAACTTATAAGACGGATACTTTTTGTTTTCTTTTTAAAAATAAGAAAAAATTTTATTTTTATTTTTAATTTTATCTTTAGATTATTTTATTTCAGTTACATTTTAAATGTATTTTATTTGTTTTTCGTTTTAATTTTTACTACTGTTGCTTTTTAAGAAAGGCCATTACGAAGAATTTTAGTTAGAACAATGTTTTTAATTTTTTAGAAAAAAATAATTAAGTTTTACTATTATTATACTCATATATAATGGCCCCAGTCACAATATTGGTATGGAATTGTAGAGGGATCAGAAATAAAAAAGAAGAATTGGCCAGGAGAATAGGAAACTATGATATAGCGGTTATAACGGAAGTTAAACAACCAAAAAACATCCCAATTTATTTTACAGGCTACAAAACATATAGAACAGATAATCTAGATAGTAAAGGAGGAATAGCTATGGTGATACACAACAGATTAGAATTCGATATTTTAAATTTCCAGAAGGAAACGCATGAATCAGTTGAAAGGTTGGGCATCATGATTAAGAATCTTCCCGAAAGAGTCAATATAGTCGCGGTTTACAGGAGACCAGGTATCAATTTAAGTAAAACCACATGGCGCAAGATGCTCACAAACGAGGTAAATAAATACAAAACATACTATGTTGGGGACTTTAATGCACACAATACTATTTGGAACTGTGGAGATACGGATAGAAACGGAGAAAATATGTGTGAGATAATGGAGGAGAAGAACTTGGTATGTTACAATGACGATACAAAATCCAGAATGGGAATGGTAGACCAAACGTCTAACAATTTAGATTTAATACTGGGACCTATGGAGGATTTAGATAATATAAGGACATATCAGTTACAGGATTCCTGGGGCTCAGATCACTATCCAATTATAATGGAAATGGACTACGAGATCGCCAACTACATTAAAAAGACGAATAGAATATATAAGACGAATAGAATATATATAGAAATAGAATCACATCCAATAAGACAAAATGGGATGAGTATAGTGGAAGGATTACTGAAATATGGGAGAGAATAAAAAAAGCATTAAATCTGGATTTAGGAGTCAGAGACATGCGGATAAGATATAACCTATTATGCGAAAGTATGAAAACGGCCATAAGAGAGATCACACCGAGAGGAAGAGGCAACAAGAAAGAGAATAAAAAGAATAAGATAAATAATGAAAGAGCAAACCCAGTTAAATGGTGGGATGAGGAATGCGAAGAGGTGATTAGAAATAGGAAAAAGGCACAAAAGAAATTTGTTAGAAGAGGAACGATGCATGCATATATAGAATACAAGAGGTGTAGAGCCATAGCGAGAAAAGTGATCAAATTAAAAAAGACACAGAGCTTTGAATTATTCTGCACATCTATAAACAAGAACATAAGTATGAACTACGTTTGGAATACGATGAGGATATTTAGGAACTGTAAGGCGAAGATAGAATGGAACAAGTGGAAGAGTAGGAACAGAGAGGAAAGCATAAAAGAAATGATAGAAAAATTAGCCCCTCCGTCCGCGGAAAACCCGCCGATGGATCTTGGAAGAGAACGGGAGGAGGGATTAAGATGGAAGGACAATTTTACAGCAGCGGAATTGGAAAGAGCATTAAGAATGATAAGAAAGAATTCAGCACCTGGAAGGGATGGTATCGAATATGATATGATCAAGCGGTTGCCAGATAGAATGCAACAGGAAATGTTAATGGTACTCAACGACATATGGAAGAGGAATCAGCTACCAAAGAGCTGGCAGGAATATCAAGTGATTTTCATAGATAAACCAGGGCAAGAGAAGGTCAGACCGATAGCGCTGGCGTCTTGTATAGGTAAAGTAATGGAGAGAATGGGGGAGGGAATAAATGAAAGACTGATATGGTGGGTAGAAAAGAATAATTTATTAAACAGGGATCAAAATGGATTCAGAAGAGGGAGGTCCTGCGCAGACAACTTGACGCAAATCACCTCTGATATCAGAAATGGATTCTCTAGAGGGGAATATACCACAGCGCTATTTGTGGACGTAACCGCGGCCTATGATAATGTAGATTTAAATATACTCATTGAGAAGCTGGAAGAGATAAGGTGCCCCAGGGACATAGTAAGATTTGTGTATGCTTGGAGTAGGGTCAGGTATACCCAGTTTATTGTATCTGGAGAGGAAACTATAGATAGAAGGGTCTATAAAGGTCTACCGCAGGGGGCAGTGTTGAGCCCACTGCTGTACTCAATATATACGAGGAATATTACAGAAGAGTTAGGAAGGGGAATACAAACCATTCAATTCGCAGACGACATCGCTATGTACACCACAAGCACAAATAGAGAAGCAAATACCCTCGCAATTCAAGAGGCGGCCAATCAACTGGACAACAGGCTAGAGAAGTTGGGACTGGAACTAGAGCCAAGAAAAACGGTCCTGGTTGAATTCAACAAGCAGGGAGTACGAGATAAAAAAGTGAAGATAAGGCTGGGAAAGGTGGACATACATAACAATGTAGGGGCAAAGTTCCTAGGACTATGGTTTGACAACAGGGTTAACTTCCAGCATCAGATTGATCTGGTCAGAGATAAGGTCAAGAAGGCTAACGGCCTCATGAAATATCTAAACAAAAAGAGAAGAGGCATGGAAGTCAATACAGCATTGCTGTTATATAAGAGCATGGTAAGGTCAGTAGTGGATTATGGTTTATTTATTTACTTCCCCAGAGAAGCCAACCAAAGATTGAAAATGGAAAGGACCCAATACGCAGGCCTCAGGACAGCATTAGGTTACAGAAATAGTACACCGAATAATGTAATTATAGCGGAATCAAAAGTTATGCTGTTACAGGATAGAGCAGAAATGCTGGCGAGGAATTTTCTTTTAAAAATAATGATATATGGAAGTGAAGAGATGAAATTGAGAATGGATCAACTGGAAGCAAACGAAAACTATGAATGCTACATCAGGCCCACATCGAATAGAAGCTGTCTGGGGAATGCCTGGTCAAGGATAAAATGGTTAAAGAAACAGGCAGGAGAAGGCAGAAAATTCGAGATCTTTGAGACGGATTACGAAGAAATCACTGAGGAAATAGAAACGGATAAACACACAGCGAAACAATGGAAAAGAAAGATCCACACGGATAAACAGTTGATAGAAAATATCATAGAAAACAATAAAATAAGAGGGACTATCAAGGTAATGTATACTGATGGCTCTAGGGGGAGAAAGAGTAAATCTACAGGAGCGGGATTAGTTATAGAAGAACAGGAAACAGCATACAATATAAGCCTGCCAAAAGAATGCTCATCATTCACAGCAGAAGCCTTTGCAGTCAAAACCATGTTAGAACTGATATATCAGGAAAAAATAGAAGAAAGACGAAACTACATAATTCTCACTGACTCAATGTCAACTATACAGGCTTTAGAGAACAATCTGTTACAGGTATACAAAAATATGTATATAATAAAAGCTAGATCCCTGTATAGGAAGATAATCAAAAACAAGAAATGCAGGATCATTATAGGATGGGTTCCAGCACATGAAGGGATCAGGGGTAATGAAATGGCAGATAAACTGGCGAAGGAGGTTTCCCAGGAACCAGCCTCGGAGGAAATCAAGGTCCCATATAGTGACTTCAGAAGTATTTTTAAACGAGAATTATGGAACAATACGCAAAACAAGATTATAAAGGATGCGGAGTACAAAGGAAAATTTTATTTTGAGAATTTCTATAAAAGAAAAAGAAGAAAACCTTGGTTCGGTAATACTAACGAGGAAAGGTATTTTATAGTATGGATTAATAGAATCAGATCGAATCACTTTAATCTGAATGAATCATTAGCCAGGAAAGGGTATATAGAGGACGCTAGATGTGACTGCGGTAATGAGAGTGAGAGTTTGGAGCATGTGGTGTGGAAGTGTGTGAGGTATGACGAGGAGAGAGTGGGGATGGACTTGGAGCTGAGGGGAATGGGGGTGAGGGAAGAGATTAACATAATGGACGCAATAAGAAATCTGGATTGGGTGGTGTTGAAGTGTATTTTCAAGTTTTTTAGAAAAATAAATAGAATCATCTAATATAGGATACAGAGAAACCGAAAAAGGAATCAGATAAACCTGTGTCATATAACCTCAGGGTTGAAGACACATAGTCGGAAATATCCGACGTCCTCCAACCGGGGGAAAAAAAAAAAAAAAAAGGAATCACTTCCGTCGCCAACGATCCAGCCGCTCACTACGCCCACGTGGAAATACGTCAATCCAGATACCTTAGGCACTAGCGGAATCTATTCCACGGATGACTTGAACCGATTCCAGAATTACATAATTTCCCGATCGAAAAGTCGTCGATGCTGAATATTATCGCACGAGGCGCACTGGGACAGAATGTACCAAGCGGAAGCATCTCTCTGATGAACTTACTAGATGAAAAGTCTCTAGACCATTGTCGAAAGCGTGAGAAAGCGCCTGTAACAAGGTTTCATCACGTTCGGCTCTGCTAGCGCGGGAGTTCTGGTACTATTTATCATAGACAGACTTATCAAGCTGATAATTGATACATCATTTACGGGTACGCGCTACACAGTATTTACAAATGGAGCATCCACCTAAGTGTCGGTCTACAATAAGTGATTTAAGCTTTAAGAAGTAAGAAATTGACCAATTATAATCTAATATGAAAAGAATACTCGACTATGATTAGTCAATTTCTTACGGCTTAAAGATTAAATACTTATTGTGGACCGACACTAATGG